CACTGTATAGTTAAGTAAGCAATATTAATATTTAGTATTAACAGTTTGTTTATTAAGTTAGAGGTATTAATATTTAGTATTCACAAGTTGTTTGTTATTTTTGACTATTTTATTTTATTTTTAGTATTAGCAGCATTTGTAATAATTTCATTATTTACAAACATTATTTGACTATTAATAGCGTAGGCTATATGCTATCGGTTAATATTCATATTTTGTATTTTGAACTTGTTCTATTATGAAGTGTTCCATTTTAGCCTGATGACGATCCATTGATTATATTGAAAACGTTTATTTTAATAACTAGCTGCAAGGACCCGCTTCGCTGGGCAAAAAGTAACGATAGTGAAGATTAAGATAATTACATTATAGCTAATCTTACCCGTTTTCACAGAATGCAAGAATTAGGTCCCCCGTTTCCAGACTAATTANTCTGGCCGCAATAAAGCGGTGGTAATAAAGCGATGGTCGCTACAGCTTTACGCGTCGACCGTTTTCCACTGCGAGATAAATTTCAGTATAGTCCCACTCCTAGTAGTGAGGTCGATCCAGCCCTCGCCCGCGGACGAAGAGACAGTAGCAATCCCGAACGGATTATTCAGAATATGCATCCACCGCTTAGATAGACGATCTGAGTCTATATCGGATACCTCGAGTCTCTTGTTATGGTCTGGCCGATTTGGTGATGGAATTTCCAATGCACTCTTGGTTTCACTTCATAATAAGAAAAATATTAGAGAGGTTGTGGCCGAAGTTTTCATCTATAAAGCGTGAACGTCGAACGTTGAGTGCCGTTCATCTTATAAGCCTAGAAGTTTGACAATGGCGTTTGGAACATCGAGCATGATTCCAATGACGTTTCAAACGCCATTGTCAAACTTCTAGGCTTACAAGACAGGCGGCACTCGACGTTCGACGTTCACGCTTTACAGATGAAAACTTCGGCCACAACCTCTCTACTAATAGTTTTTTTCTGAAACTAGAAGGCCAGAGCGATTAATGTAACAGCCTGTGATTCTGAAGACTGGGAATTGAATCCGGGCAGACTAAGAGCCTCGGGAATTTTTGTGGGTAAATCGGATATATCGAGCTGTATCTCCTACCACCCTGCCGAATCCGCCATGGCCTAGATAAAAAGGCCTTTTTAGTTAAGTTCTCAACTCTCAACTAACAAAATAATTCTATTTTCTTCGAAACAGTTGCGTTGAGTACCCTACCGTCTACATAACAGCTTTTTTACGTAATGAATAAAATTCGATAACCCGTTTTGCGTATTAAGCTTATCACTTTACTTATTTAGCATACTGATTTAAAAAATCATGCCGGTAATACAACAGCATTCTTACCACGAAGGGTTATTGAAAGTTTAATATAATACAACGTACTTTAATTTAAAAAAAAACCCACGTAGTTATCACGTGATACGCATCTAGCAACCGACCACCTTTGCAGCATAAAATAAGTTTAGTGTAAAGTTACTTGCAGTGTACGCAAATATCTCTACAATAATTCTGCAAAGAATTTAACTTACAAGAAACTCTTAGTGAGCAGGGTATTGAAAATAAAAATATTTTCTGCAATAGAATATTTAACACGAAAACAAGCTTAATTCTCAAATAAAATAGCATTTAAATTTAACCAGGTGCATCACCTATAATACAAGATTCCACAATAAATTTTCGAAACACAGGATAACAAAGAAATTCTTCTATAATTCCTGGGCGTCGATTTAGAACCACTCTTATACACAGGAAACAAAACAGCACTTCTCCAATCCCTCCGAACTATCTAGTACTGAAAATCCCTTTATCTAGTACTGAAATTCGGAAGGACCCTTGGTACTCTCGTACCGAAGTGGCACCGAGAGTACCAAGAGTAGAAGAATAAAACTCCTCACAAATAGGGGAGAAAGAAACAATAAGGTGCAGAAAAAAATGAAAGAGGTACGCTTAAATTATTAAAATTCCAACAAAATCCAAGTACACAAAGCTGGAATGTAATTTATAACAGTAAATAAAAGAAATGAGCATAAAAAATGTAAACTACAAATTTTAGAAAACATATTAATCAAGAAATATTATTTACTTATAAAAAATACCTTTATTAAGCAAAAATAAAAATGTCAATAATATAAGAAAAAAACATTAGGCAAATAAATCTCAGATAATAATATATATTTAGACAATTAAACAAGACGATTGTAGACATCACAGCACAAACAAGCATCCAATTTATACCATTAAGATATAAAAATACATTTCCATTATGCAAAATTAATGTAGTAATTGTAGCAATTAATGTAATATGCTTTCTATTCAAATATAATAAATACTTGTACGATGTACTTCTAATTTATTTCCTACGTAAATCAAGAAAAGCAAACTATTTCCAATTAAAGACATTAATTAAAATCATATATTAACATATTGATCTCATATAAACCGAAATTCTTATTTTTTTTAATTACTACTAGTTGCATAGTTGTTGCAATTAGCTATCAAACTCTATACATAATGAAACTCCTAAAAGATGAAGATCCCTTTATTTTAATAGTTATGTCAACATAACAAACATCTTTTAGTAGAAGATACACTTAATGCATTAATAGTTATATAAAACGTAAGTAAAGAGTGAGCTACTTTCAGTTATAACATACAAGACGTACTAACTTTGGTGTAACAAGCATTTTCAGAAGAGAACGTTTATCATTATATAAATTCTATTATTTCGTTATTTAAAAATATGTCAACCGTAATTTCGACTGTTAGACCCAGTNCTTATCTCTTTTTATCTGTTGTGTAATTATAATACAATATTATTAATAATGTTTTAAACAGATTTTAAATTTCATGAAGAGATTTGGTAAACAATCTTTATGTTTGACTGTTAGAGATTACTTCAAAGTGACCAAAAAGTTTCCCATTTTATAGATAAATCTCTCAGCGAGTGATTAGGTGTTGATTAAGTTTGTAATTATATTTCATTTCTATGACGATAACCTGTACACATTGCTTGACATTTATAACATTTGAAGACTGGACAAGATTTCTACTTATTCAATTTAGAGTAATCTCTGTCTAAAATAAAAGCCGTTATTCTGTGTGTTTCAATTATCGGGATTTTAAACTACTTTTCTTTGAATAAAAGTAAATATTATAAATTTCAATTGAACTCATGAAAAATTGTTTTTTGTTAGGCCTATATATTATTGCGTTTATGGCAACGATTTTCGAGTTTTTAATGCTTATACTTCAATTCGTATATTCGATCTACATTAGTCAAATAATAGTACAGTACTGTATTTATAAAAAAAAATAAATAAATAAATATTCTTCTCTTCTGAAAATGTTATTATGGAGTAAAAATCCTCGTTACAGCGATAGTTAATATCTCTTATATCTAAATACAGATACAAAAAGACATTATAAGATACATCATAAGATATTTTAAAAATACATTAAAAACATTAAAAGATATAAAAATACATTTCATTATGCTAAATCAATGTAGTAATTGTAGCAATTAATGTAATATGCTTTCTATTTCAAATATAATAAATACTCTTATGATGTACGTCTAATTTATTGCCTACGTAAATCAAGAAAAGCAAACTATTTCCAATTAAATACATCAATTAAAATTATATATTAACATATTGATCTCATATAAACCGAAATTCTTATCCTTTTTAATTACTACTGATTGCATAGTTGTTGCAATTAGCTATCAAACTCTATACATAATGAAACTCCTAAAAGATGAAGATCCCTTTATTTTAATAGTTATGTCAACATAACAAACATCTTTTAGTAGAAGATACACTTAATGCATTAATAGTTATATAAAACGTAAGTAAAGAGTGAGCTACTTTCAGTTATAACATACAAGACGTACTAACTTTGGTGTAACAAGCATTTTCAGAAGAGAACGTTTATCATTATATAAATTCTATTATTTCGTTATTTAAAAATATGTCAACCGTAATTTCGCCTGTTAGACCCAGTTTTGTTGATTTAAACACGGAATTGTGTTTGCAATGTTTTCTGCCTTCATTTACGTCAATATCCATGATTTACGGATGGCATTTTTTTAATCCTTGCTTCTGTACCGTCAAGAATAACGCTTACTTTATTAAAGTTCTGAATAAATTGTACGTTTCTTTCATTGAATGTGTTTATTGGATACATTTCATCCTCACCTTTTTTATGACAATCCCTTATTTATCGAATAAAACACCTTGCAATTCTTGGTTTTTGTTTATCGAGAATGATGTCTTTGTCAAACTGTCTGTTGCGATTTTCGCATTCTCAGCAGCTCTATTGTTTACTATTGTGAAAAGAGTTAAATTAAATTCAAAAGTAAAGTTAAAACTCTCAAATTCTTTCGAAAATAAATTTTTTTCTCTGATAAATTACGCTGAAATCATTAGTTCGATTCTGATTGTAGTTTTTACATTGTGGTTTCAAGTTATAAATGTTTTTTACTTTTACCGTGCAATAGAACAAGGAAAGATTTACAAATACGAAGCTCTTTTCTGCACTGTTGAAATCGGGATCTGGTCGATAATTCTGATTGGTGGAATGGTGATTATTGTTATTTTTTTCGTAACAATTGCAATTACTTTAATGGAATCTTTCAAGGAAGTATCAGAAGATTTGTATCAATTGAAAAAGTATAATCCGAGTTTGCAATCGGAGTTGGAAGCAATTATGGCTCGACACCACGAACTTTGGGTTTTTACTAATCAACTCAACAGTCCATTTAATTATGTTATAACGATTGTATATGGATGTTTACTAATGGAAACCAGTCTACTTTTCTTTATTTTCGTCTTTTCAAACATGAAGTTTATTTTGAAAGTCTACATTTGTATTATTTGTGTTATAGTAACTTTTTTGTGTATTTTATTGGGAGTATTTGCATCTGCTTTCACATCCAGAGTAATTTATTTTATTAGAATAAAGAGCCTTTATTTCGTTTTCAAATTAGATTAATTGTATTGTTTTTTTCAGATGCAAACGTCGTTTCAAGATATTAGAAGGTTCGCCGATTGTCAACTCGAATTAGAACAGAAATTAAAGGTTAAATACTTCAATTGTAGAGTACCGGACCAAATATCCAGCATGCTAGGGACCGAAGTGTTCTGATCGTATACGTTTTAGTTTTCTGTCTGAATATAAACTTAAAATATAAAATACACAATGGAATGTAGAAAGCAAACTTGTATTTCTACACACATTTTGTCAGCAGTGTGATACCGCAACTGGCTACTTTGCAATATTCTTATACTAAAGCTTCCGAAATTAAAATCTACCCAGTTTTTATGTATGCCAGATATTTGGTTTAGTATTATATTATTTTATTGATTTACTTATTTCTTTTTGTCTGTTGTGTAATTATAATACAATATTATTAATAATGTTTTAAACAGATTTTAAATTTCATGAAGAGATTTGGTAAACAATCTTTATGTTTGACTGTTAGAGATTACTTCAAAGTGACCAAAAAGTTTCCCATAAAAGTAAGATTTCAACTAAATTTCTTTTATCATTTGTTTAATTTTTATACTCGAAATTGCATGTGTTTTATTTCAGATGGCAAGTTCTCTTCATTCCGTATTTTCTGGTATTCTAAATCTAAACAAATCTTTAAGCCAGAGAAATTAATGTTTTTGTAAAGAATTAATGTTTTAAATAATAAAAAATAAAAATTAAATTTTAATTTAGTTTTCTTACTTTTTGAATTATTAATCATTGACTTATTTGAAACCGAATTTTTTTATTTTTATTTTATATTTCAAATCCTGTCGGTTTGTTGGTTTGTCGGATATACAAATCTTCATTATTAAACCAATCTGGACCAAAGTTTGTATGGGCATTACTTATACCCTGGAATCGACACTAAGCTATACACTGCTCCAAAATATTGATGTTGGCAATATTTTATTGTAATGTGCAATTTTTATTTTATCTATTGTGTGTTGATTTTTTTATACAAGTTTCTAAGAGCCAAATTATTCGCAAATAGTTTACTTTGTTTCTACTCAATGCGTCTTATAATTAATCTTTTTAGACTTCTGGAAACCGAATTCCCTGCTTCGATTTTCATACATTTGTACACATTTTTAGGAACATTACATCTGAAGTATTCCTGCTTAATTTACTCTGTTTAATGACCGCCAGATGAAAGGACGGTTAAGGCATATAGATGACCGTAATGACTCTATTGTTAAAAGTATGATAAACAGGGGCAGACACTACTAATTTGAGGTGGAGAGCATACATTGCAAATTGAATAAATTAAAAACATGATTTAAAAATTGCAACCCAACTTTTTTTATACTCTTTCCGCCTTGTGGGCATTAAGACAGTCTCTTATAGCAAACCCATTATGGGTTCGGCCAGGCCCACAACGAAGCGACTGGGTGGTGAGGGACAGGCCCGACATATCTGAAAGGACCACATCCCGAAAAATTCCTGGGTATTCCTTGACCCTTCCGGATTCGATTCTGGGTCCCCCAGAACGGTAGGCTGCCACAATAACTAATTGCTTGTTATCTTAAACATTACATCATTTTCAAAATCGTCAGTGTACTAATAATATGAATTTAAACTATTTGTTGATTATATAATGTAACAATAAAATTTTAAATGTGTCTTTATAAATGCCATATTTGAAATGATGGATTTTGCTGGTTAGGCCGTAGTTTTTTGAACAGTTGTATTTAAATTTCATTCACTAAATTCAGAATATTAAGCATCAATACAAACTTGTAATTATATTTAATTTGAGTAAAGTGATTCGTTTAAATGTTTAAAAAACGTCAGTAATGAGTTGCGTCACTTTCCCGGCTATTATGTAATTTCGTTTTTAATATATTTTTTATACTATTAATCATAATAAATAAAATCTTCTATGGCGCCATCTGTTATGAGATTTTGTTATAAAAAGGTTTATGTTATTAATTATTATAAAGTGGCAAAAAGAAGTAATTAACTTTGAAGGTAGAGATAAGTTCGACCTCAATAGAGATAAGACACGTGACACCACTATCTTCCACCACCCTCATCTTTAATGTCCAAAATTCATTATCGTCAATGCCCTTTATATAAGTTGCCATGGGAAATTTCGTTTATTAATATCTCATACGGTTATAATAATATAGAAGCGAAATTTGATATGATAACTTGTATGTAAGAAGCATTTATGCTATAAAATGTTTTTGATTATAGGTTGTGTGGGTGAGAAGTTAGAGACGTTACAGAAGATTAATCTTTTTGCCCATTTATAATAGTTATTAATTTAAAACTTTTATAACAAAATCTCATAATATAAGTTACAAGATAAAATCTGATAACTGCTGGAAAATTTAAGCAACTCTTTGCTGGATTTTTTATATGAATGTGGTATCAAATATGTTATGAAATACATATTTGATAACATGGATATTTAGCAGAGATTGACATTTTTATTGATAAACCACCGCAAATAAGTACAGTGATCTCTCAGTTATACGACTCTAAAGAGACCAATGATAAAAGTCGTATAAGTGAGAGAGTTGTACAAAAGAGAGATTGACCAACTTCAATGAATAATGTTAAAAACATAACTTTGTCATTACCATTTGTATTATCTAAACATATAGCCGGCAGTAATTCTCTTTCTAAAAATAAATATTATGTCCAGTATGATAATCCTCTCTGCTTTTTTATCTAACCTGTTTCCAGGCTAATTAGAAAAATTTTAGATGGATTGAAAAATATTCGATTTCCCGCAAAAACGAAAAAACTGCATCTACGTCTGTAAATCTTGCCCGTCGCTTTCTCGTAACACTTCCGTTGTTCACACTTCCCCGAGGGGGGAAGTGTAAACAACCTCACCCCCGCTGGTGGAATTTCGAAAATTCCCTTCTTAGTGTATATTCTCGTGATATATCCTATTAAAATGTAATCAAAAACGCAAAAAACCGAATCTGTGCCTGTAAATCTTGCACATCGCATTCTCTTAACACTTCCATTGTTAAAACTTCTATTGTTAAAACTTCCATTGTTGACACTTCCATCATTAACACTTCTATTATTAACACTGCCATCGTTACTTAATTAATTAACACTTTCATTGTCGAAGCCTTAATCCTGTCTCTCTCCCCCCGTGAGGGGAAATTTCGAAAAATTCCTTCTTAGTGTGCGTTCTCGTGACGTACCCTAACTATGTACTAAATTTCAACTTTCAACTCCTAACCGTTTGGGCTCTGCGCTGATTATTATTATTATCAACTCGTCTCGATTATATATATAGATATATATATAGATATAGATATTTATAGATAAATCTCTCAGCGAGTGATTAGGTGTTGATTAAGTTTGTAATTATATTTCATTTCTATGACGATAACCTGTACACATTGCTTGACATTTATAACATTTGAAGACTGGACAAGATTTCTACTTATTCAATTTAGAGTAATCTCTGTCTAAAATAAAAGCCGTTATTCTGTGTGTTTCAATTATCGGGATTTTAAACTACTTTTCTTTGAATAAAAGTAAATATTATAAATTTCAATTGAACTCATGAAAAATTGTTTTTTGTTAGGCCTATATATTATTGCGTTTATGGCAACGATTTTCGAGTTTTTAATGCTTATACTTCAATTCGTATATTCGATCTACATTAGTCAAATAATAGTACAGTACTGTATTTATAAAAAAAAATAAATAAATAAATATTCTTCTCTTCTGAAAATGTTATTATGGAGTAAAAATCCTCGTTACAGCGATAGTTAATATCTCTTATATCTAAATACAGATACAAAAAGACATTATAAGATACATCATAAGATATTTTAAAAATACATTAAAAACATTAAAAGATATAAAAATACATTTCATTATGCTAAATCAATGTAGTAATTGTAGCAATTAATGTAATATGCTTTCTATTTCAAATATAATAAATACTTTTATGATGTACGTCTAATTTATTGCCTACGTAAATCAAGAAAAGCAAACTATTTCCAATTAAATACATCAATTAAAATTATATATTAACATATTGATCTCATATAAACCGAAATTCTTATCCTTTTTAATTACTACTGATTGCATAGTTGTTGCAATTAGCTATCAAACTCTATACATAATGAAACTCCTAAAAGATGAAGATCCCTTTATTTTAATAGTTATGTCAACATAACAAACATCTTTTAGTAGAAGATACACTTAATGCATTAATAGTTATATAAAACGTAAGTAAAGAGTGAGCTACTTTCAGTTATAACATACAAGACGTACTAACTTTGGTGTAACAAGCATTTTCAGAAGAGAACGTTTATCATTATATAAATTCTATTATTTCGTTATTTAAAAATATGTCAACCGTAATTTCGACTGTTAGACCCAGTTTTGTTGATTTAAACACGGAATTGTGTTTGCAATGTTTTCTGCCTTCATTTACGTCAATATCCATGATTTACGGATGGCATTTTTTTAATCCTTGCTTATGTACCGTCAAGAATAACGCTTACTTTATTAAAGTTCTGAATAAATTGTATGTTTCTTTCATTGAATGTGTTTATTGGATACATTTCATCCTCACCTTTTTTATGACAATCCCTTATTTATCAAATAAAACACCTTGCAATTCTTGGTTCTTGTTTATCGAGAATGATGTCTTTGTCAAACTGTCTGTTGCAATTTTCGCATTCTCAGCAGCTCTATTGTTTACTATTGTGAAAAGAGTTAAATTAAATTCAAAAGTAAAGTTAAAAATCTCAAATTCTTTCGAAAATAAATTTTTTTCTCTGATAAAATACGCAGAAATCATTAGTTCGATTCTGATTGTAATTTTTACATTGTGCTCTCAAGTTATAAATGTTTTTTACTTTTACCGCGCAATAGAACAAGGAAAGATTTACAAATACGAAGCTCTTTTCTGCACTGTTGAAATCGGGATCTGGTCGATAATTCTCATTGGTGGAATGGTGAATATTGTAACTTTTTTCATAACAATTGCAATCACTTTAATGGAATCTTTCAAGGCAGTATCAGAAGATTTGTATCAATTGAAAAAGTATAATCCGAATTTGCAATCGGAGTTGGAAGCAATTATGGCTCGACACCACGAACTTTGGGTTTTTACTAATCAACTCAACAGTCCATTTAATTATGTTATAACGATTATATATGGATGTTTACTAATGGAAACCAGTCTACTTCTCTTTATTTTCGTCTTTGCAAACATGAAATTTATTTTGAAAGTCTACATTTGTATTATTTGTGTTATAGCAACTTTTTTGTGTATTTTATTGGGAGTATTTGCATCTGCTTTCACATCCAGAGTAATTTATTTTATTAGAATAAAGAGCCTTTATTTCGTTTTCAAATTAAATTAATTGTATTATTTTTTTCAGATGCAAACGTCGTTTCAAGATATTAGAAGGTTCGCCGATTGTCAACTCGAATTAGAACAGAAATTAAAGGTTAAATACTTCAATTGTAGAGTACCGGACCAAATATCCAGCATGCTAGGGACCGAAGTGTTCTGATCGTATACGTTTTAGTTTTCTGTCTGAATATAAACTTAAAATATAAAATACACAATGGAATGTAGAAAACAAACTTGTATTTATACACACATTTTGTCAGCAGTGTGATACCGCAACTGGCTACTTTGCAATATTCTTATACTAAAGCTTCCGAAATTAAAATCTACCCAGTTTTTATGGATGCCAGATATTTGGTTTAGTACTATATTATTTTATTGATTTACTTATCTCTTTTTATCTGTTGTGTAATTATAATACAATATTATTAATAATGTTTTAAACAGATTTTAAATTTCATGAAGAGATTTGGTAAACAATCTTTATGTTTGACTGTTAGAGATTACTTCAAAGTGACCAAAAAGTTTCCCATAAAAGTAAGATTTCAACTAAATTTCTTTTATCATTTGTTCAATTTTTATACTTATAATTGCGTGTGTATTATTTCAGATGGCAAGTTCTCTTCATTCTATCTTTTCTGGTCTTTTAAATCTGAACAATTCTTTAAACCATTGAAATTCATGTTTGAGAAAAACTGAATGTTTAAATAATGAATTGTGTAAATGTGCATTATTGTGAGAAGTCTGTCGGAATTGTTATCGTTTGATTTACAGAATAATTAATGCTTTATTCTTGTATTTTATTAATTTTAATTAAGTATTATAGTAACCGAAATTAACTAATATTTATGAATATATTTGTATCGCGCTTTGTATTCGAATAAAAATTTCAGAAACGAGTTGCTTATGTTTCCTGGCAACATTTAAAATTTTCCTTGCGTCATCTGTTATGATATTTTATTATTAAAACCTTTAAAATCAATGTTTAAGTATACATAATTTCAAGATTTGTATTATGATTATGTCTTGTATGAATTTTAGAGTGCACGTCTGGTGTCTAGGTGTACATTATATAATTTTAGCAATCATTTTGGTTTTATATTTTAAGGATGCATTTTTACTTTATATATATTTTTTAAATAATCTAAAGCCATTTTATTTGAAATTTAAAAGTTTATTTAAAGATAATAAATTATTACTTATAGGTGGTTGGTAGAAGTTTATTAATTAGTATGGCGGAGAAGATAGTAGCTCGAACTCACGATTGATTTTTTGGACGAACGTATCTGGTAAATTTGATATCTCATATACATCAAAAGATAAATAAAATTATTAGAGGATTTCAATATTTTACTGAACACCGATGGCATTCGTCCTCTAAAACCGCAGATAAATACAGTAGACCCCTATAACACGGGTTCATATAACACGGATTCGTATAACACGGCGAAAAAATTGCGATCTTGTTCGCTTAACACGCTAAAAGAGACTCGTATAACACGGTAAAACGTCATCGCCGACTCGTGTCGCGATAGGATTGGTCGAATCTAGACCGATAGCGAATATTGCACAAACTGTTGAGTTTAAACGAGCAGCGGGCCTACTAAAAACCATTTATTAATTAAAGGCCATAAAAATTATATTTATACTAATAATGTCTCCAAAGTTCAGCAAATTTTTCGCAGAAATATAATTTATCGGAAAACACGCGCCCGTTGCTCGATGCGCCGCTCCACCACGAAAACAAACTAAAGCAATGGCGTCGTCAAATAGTGCACACTCGGTAATTAATCCTACTATTTTTTGTTTATAGCATAGTTTATATGGATTACTCTCAAAAAATTATTCGTGTTTTGAAAATATTGAGTCAAATTAGTCTAGAATCGATTAATTTTATGGAAGAAAACATTTCAAACAACCATATTCCGTAAACTGCACATTTGCCGGGCTGTAATTAGTTCATGTATTTTAGGACTCGTACAACATGAATTTCATAAAACACGGAACGTAGGTACCGTGTTATAGAGGGGCCTACTGTAGTAAAAAGAAAAGATAGGCTATGTTTGTTTGTTTTATAAGAAACAAATATAGCCTATCTTAAACATTATTGTTAAAAATTATAATTTCTATCAGTTACAGTGCATTAAACATTACTTTAGTGTCTAATGAAATTCTCTTATAAAATACGAGAGTCATTTTTAAAATTTCTAAACAAAAATACGAGACTCTGATCACAAGAATGCACTTGTTGCTTGTCATATTAATTGCGGCCGTTGGCTGTAAATAATGGCATGTAATCATTATCTTTGCCAGTTTTCTATTAGTTATGAGACATGCACGGTTTAACTCTCGTCACTTGCGGCACTGGCGTTAGCATGATGTATACTTAATTATCTTCCGGTTTTTTAAACTCTTTTCGCTCTGTCAACTCGTATTAGGGGCACTAAGAGAGCCTCTTTTAGCAAGCCCATTATGGGTTCGACCAGGCCTACAATGGAGCGACTGAGTGGTGAGGGACGGAGGCCAGACATATCTAGACAAATCACCCCGGAAAAATTTCTGGGATTTTATCGACCCGTCCGGATTCTCACCCGGGTCCCCCAGAGCAAAAATCTTAAGGAGCAAGTATCTTGATAAACCTTAAGCATATTTGCTTGTTTTCCAATCTAGTATTGGCATTACGGAAAGTGTTGTAAATCATTCGAGCAGCTAGTGATACATAGAGAAATGGTTTAACATGTAACTTAATCTTGTGCATATCTCTTTGTCAGAGTCGAAGTTGTTCCGTTGAGTGGAGGAAGACAAATATGGTTTGATTACCATCAAAGCATTCTGCTGAGCAAATCGAATCTTACCCTTGCGATATTCAAAGTTACATTGTTTAATGTGAGTAATTATAAGAAAATATCTATTTACCGATGGAAGAGTGAGATACTGTTGAAGGTCAACACTGCAATAAGAAGCTAACATTCACACAAACTACTGATATGATACGCAACACGGCTCTTCCTTCTGCCGACAGATTCAATTATATAAGATAATCAATTAATGCTTAGATATGAGATTTTGAAACATTCTCGAGAGAATTCGGTATTCGGGTAAGTCCCAATAATGTACTGTTTACAGGAAGAATATTAAATCCCTCACAAATAACGTATGAACAAAATCAGGCCATCACACCTTTGAACGGGAGCTGGAATATGAAAGGAAATAGATTATATACAGGAGCAAGTATAGAAAAGTGGATGCTGCTGAGCTTCTAAACAGCTCGATTTTGTGATGAAAATGCTCTGCAGAATTTTGTGAAAATGCTTATAAACGGTAGAAAACGCATAGGAGTATATTTTGCACCATCCCTCGTTATTAAACGCTAAACCCGTCGCGATGGAAGGCCAGCAGATGTACTTAGACAAGCAAGGAATAAGTATCCAGATCTGCAATTAGCCATAATAACATCTGCAGATAAAATTCTATTCAGAGGTGAAACCGTTGCAGAAACAGAACCGGATCTTATGACGCAATGTATAAAGGATGTAAACGCAACGGAAAGAAAATTTAATTCTCAGATAATATGTAATTTATGTCAAAAAATTAATTTTAAAATGGGTGGAGTCAACAGTTTGTCGCAAGTATACAAATATATATATATATATATGTAAATTACATCATTTTTATGACCAAAGGCGGCGTAAAGCATGGGCAACATGGGCCACCGCCTATGCCTCGCGGTCCGAAGGGCCTCGCGCCTCGAAGGTTTATGCATTACTTGAAAGCCGAGAACGCGACGAAAAAATTTTACTCGTCATAAAACGATAAATAGTTTGTCAAATTTTTATTCATAAAAATGTAGTTTCAACTGCTTTTTATTTTATAAAATCCGTCTTCTTG